CTCCCCCTTTCGCAAGGAGAGCCTGGAGAGTCCCCACCAAGAGAAAGGTGTGAACGTCGCACCTCGGATCTATCCCGGCTTGGGAAGGTCCCGTCCTCAGACGTCAGCCGCCAGAGTCCCCCCCCACCCCCACCCAACTCAAACAAAGACGCCGAAAGAGGGAGAGGGGTCTGCCCGACTCTTTCAGGCCAGCACGGGCTGGGGGGGGCTCAGCTCCCACCCTCCCATTCCCAGCGCACACTTGCCTGTATTGAGGGGGGGGGAGCATCCCAGCAGACACTTCAGAAAGAAGGAAGGGAAATGGTGCTGGGGAGCAGCAGGAGTCCCTGGGGGGGTTGAGGAGGGAGCAAAGCCCTCCCCTGCCCCACAACCCAGGCCGTCATAGCCCGTGGCTCATGGCTCCACATATGCGGACATGTGCACTCGCACACGCACACCCCTCCTCCTCCTGCCTCTTCTACCTTCCTCTCCCCAAGAAGGGACATCTGGGGTGTGGACCCATGGGCCTCGCCTGCGCCCAAGAAGGGACATCTGGGGTGTGGACCCGTGGGCCTCGCCCGCGTCCTCCCCTCCCCTCCCCTCCCCTCCCTCTGTGCCCTGGGTGGAGGGAGGGAGGCCACGGTGGAGGAAGGGGGTCCCTTCTTGGGACCCAAACCCTCTCTCTCCCACTCCTCCACCCCAGCCAGGAACCGTTTATGCCCTGGCACGTGTTTATGGGGTCCAGATGGTGCAGCCTAGGGAGGTGATGGGTGGGGGTGGGGGGGTCATTGAGCAGGTCAAGACGTGGGGGCTCCGTTCATCCCTCCCTCTAACAGGCGGCCTGTCATTGGGAGAAAGGGGGGGTGTCCCTCTGCAGCGGAAGGGAGAAGGGAGAGCGGGATGGGGTGGCTTCCCAAGGCAAGGGGGGGGGGCTTGGCTCCTCCAGAGGCCCTGTGGGTTGGCCGGTGGGGACGGGACAGGTCAGGACAGGTGGCACCCTGTGGCATGAGGTCTCCCTTGACCTCCCCCCGCAGTGCTTCCTGCCGTGCTCCCACTGACAAGGGAATATTCCTTCTCAGGCACCCACAGGTAGCTTGCCTTCCCAGCCGTGGGGAGAGGGAGGAGATGAGGGGCAGGGCCTCCTTCCCCCCCCCAGCCATCCCTCTCACCTGCCAGAGGCCCCTCCAGGTGCCCTGGGGAGGGGGGGAGCTGTCTCCAAGGGTCTCCTGTGGGGCAGACGGGTCAGTTCCTGCTCCCTTTCCCAGCCCATCATGCCATTCTCTCTGCCTGCTCTTCCCTTGCCGGCACCACCACCACCACCACCACCACCACCCTTGAAACGGCAGAAAGGGAGAGGAAAGCCTCCAGGGCCCAGCTGTCGGTTGTCAGCAGCGCTGCTGGCCTTGGGTGCGAAAGACGGTTGCTGGGAGGCCAGTGGTGTCGGTTGGCTCAGGGTCAAGGTGTGGGGCCCATGAGCTGAAAGTGGATCCTTGGCTGGCCTGAACTCTGAAATGGGGGCTGGGGGGGCTGGGGACACTTTGCGGGCAGTGGCCTGGCCAGAGGAAAGAGGCTCTTTCTCGGCAGGCACGCCCCCCCCCCACACACACACACAAAGGGTGAGGGTCATTAGAGACACTGGCCTGCCCTGGCTCTCTGTGGCCTCTGGACCCGGCTGAAGACCTTTGCGCTGGTCCAGCGTCTCCAGAACCTCTGGCGTCGTCTCAGGCTTGTCTTGAGCCGCCCGAGGGCTCTGCTCTGCGGCTGTTCTCGGTTGTGTTGTCGTCCTGAGGATTTGATA